CTTTCCTGGTACTAACATTTAAAACTCCTGTATCTGGCCGGGCGTGGTGGCTCACACCTGTAATCTCAGCACTTTGGGAGGCCAAGGTGGGTGGATCACAAGGTCAGGAGTTCAAGACCAGCCTGGCCAATATGGTGAAACCCTGTCTCTACTAAAAATATAAAAATTAGCCGGGCATGGTGGGTGCCTGTAGTCCCAGCTACTTGGTAGGCTGGGGCAGGAGAATCGCTTGAACTTGGGAGGCAAAGGTTACAGTGAGCCGAGATCAGGCCTCTGCACTCCAGCCTGGGTGACAGAGTGAGACTCCATCTCAAACGAAACAAAACAAAACTCCTGTATCCCAGGGACTCTACATGGGAATAAGGGGGAAAATAGAGAGACTAATGCATAATGCAACCTCTTCTAGGGCCTCATCAGCCAGCTTCACCTATAACCTCCTAAGGTATAGCCTTTCTGCATGAATACACACGCCTGTGCTCTCCCTTAAGCCTTGAGCTCCAAAAAGTGAGTACTTTTCTTCTGGCTGCCATTCCAAATCGACAGTTCTCAGAGGCAGTTGTGTCCCCAGGTCCGTCCCCACTGGAGTTTCCCAAACAGTGTGTCTTCTGGGCTTTCAGAGTTCTGGGTCTCCAACCCTTCTCCTCAGAGTGGATTCACTTAGAACCTCCCATTTCAATCAGTTCATTCCCACTGAGTTCTTTTGCAAATCTTCCTTCAGCTCTAAAATCCTCAGCCACTCCCTCCATCTCATATGCTCATACCACTGCACTCCAGCCTGGGCAGAGTCTCTGTCTTTAAAAAAACAAACAAGTCAGTGGCTCATGCCTGCAATTCCAGTACTTTGAGAGGCCGAGGTGGTCAGATCACCTGAGGTTGGGAGTTTGAGACCAGCCTGACCAACATGGAGAAATCTTGTCTCTACTGAAAATACAAAATTAGCTGTCAGGCAAGGTGGCGCATGCCTGTCATCCCAGCTACTTGGGAGGCTGAGGCAGGACAATCGCTTGAACCCGGGAGGCAGAGGTTGCGGTGAGCCGAGATCGGGCCATTGCTCTCCAGCCTGGGCAACAAGAGCAAGATTCTGTCTCCAAAAAAAAAAAAAAACCAACAACAACAATAAAAAAAACAGCTGGGCTCAGTGGCTCATGCCTATAATCCCAGCACTGAGGTCAGGAATTCAAGACCAGCCTGACTGACATGGAGAAACCCCATCTCTACTAAAAATACAAAATTAGCCAGGCGTGGTGGCACATACCTGTAATCCCAGCTACTTGGGAGACTGAGGCAGGAGAATTGTTTGAACCTGGGAGGCGGAGGTTGCATTGAGCCGAGATCGAGCCATTATAGTCCAGCCTGGGCAATAAGAGCAAAATTCCATCTCAAAAAAAAAAAAAAAAAAATTAGCGAAGTGTGGGGGCACATACCTGTAGTCCCACCTACTCAGGAGGCTGAGGCAGGGGAATTACTTGAACCTGGGAGGTGGAGGTTGCAGTGAGCCAAGATGGCACTACTGCACTCCAGCCTGACCAACCGAGCAAGATTCCATCTCAAAACACACACACACACACACACACACACACACACACACACACACACACAATTATCCCAATTTGAAATTTTGGTCTCTTTCCCTAATTCTTTTTTTTTTTTTTTGAGACGGAGTTTCGTTCTTGTTGCCCTGGCTGGAATGCAATGGCGCGATCTCGGCTCACCGCAACCTCCGCCTCCTGGGTTCAGGCAATTCTCCTGCCTCAGCCTCCTGAGTAGCTGGGATTACAGGCACGCGCCACCATGCCCAGCTAATTTTTTGTAGAGACGGGGTTTCACCATGTTGACCAGGATGGTCTTGATCTCTTGACCTCGTGATCCACCCATCTCGGCCTCCCAAAGTGCTGGGATTACAGGCTTGAGCCACCGCGCCCGGCCTTCTTTCCCTAATTCTTTTTTAAGTTTTACGTTTGTTTGTTTTTGTTTGTTTGCTTCCTTGTTTTTGAGACAGTCTTGGTCTATCACCCAGGCTGGAGTGTAGTGGCGCAATCTCAGCTCACTGCAACCTCCTCCTCCTAGGTTCAAACAATTCTTATGCCTCAGCCTTCTGAGTAGCTGGAATGACAAGCATGTGCCACCATACCTGGCTAATTTTATTTTAAATTTTTAGTAGAGTCAGGGTTTCCCTATGTTATCCAGGCTAGTCTCAAACTTCTGGCCTCATGCGATCTGCCCACCTCAGCTTCCCAAAGTGCTGGGATTACAGACGTAAGCCACCACATCTGGCCCCAAGTTTTAATTTTTATTGAAGCTTAAATTGGCAAATAAGATTATGGGTCTCAATCATGGAAAAGAATAGCTACGGTACTCTAGTTCTCCCACCCCACAGGAGGCCACTTTCAACTCTTCAGCTGATTCTTTTGGTGTCTACCTCTGTATCTTTAAAATTACATACTTACGTTGCTATTTTTCGGTTCAGACATTATGGCAGATGTGAATCTCTTTCTTTTTTATATACACATACCTGCCTTCCAAGCATGACATTTTCTGGTCACTGTTTCAACCTCTCAAAATATTTTGGTTAGATCAACATTCGGTATTTACTATGATTATATAAAATGCTATTTACAACTGAATCATGTACTATATTCTAGGTTACTTTTCATTTGCCGTATAACTGTTTTTTGTTTGTTTGTTTGTTTTTGTTTTTGTTTTTGTTTTAAGAGATATGTTCTTACTCTGTCACCCAGGCTGGAATGCATTAGCACAATCACAGCTCACTTCAGCCTTTAATTCCTGGGCTCAAACAATCCTCCCACCTCGGTCTCCTGAGTAGCCAGGACTACAGGCACATGCCACCACACTCAGCTGATTTAAAAAATTTTTTTATAGAGATGGGGGTCTCACTTTGTAGCCCAGGCTGGTCTCAAAACTCCTGGCTTTAACTTAAGCAATCCTTCTCCCTCATCCTCCCAAAGTGCTGGGATTACAGTCATAAACCACCATGGTCAGCCCTTGCTGCACTACTTTTTAAATTTTCCATGTTAATAATTGTCTGTTTCATTTGCTTAATATAGTCAATTTTTCATTAATTCAAACTTACACACTCTCCACTAATTTGTTAAGTAACCTGTATCATTTTCTCTTGACCTAGTAGTCTGTATGGATCTATTTGCATTGATTGTGAAGGACACTTAATAGGTGGGTTTTCCTGGAAACTCCAGACGTTTGATTCAAAAAATCTTGTTTATTTGTGATCTCCTCCCACTCCATTTTTACTTTTCTCTTTCTAGAATTTCTGTTATTCACGTTTACCTCCTAATCTGGTCCTCTTCTTTTCTCTATATTTTGTTACGTTCCAACTCTTCCAGTCTCTCATTTCTAAATCTATCAGATTTATAATTTCCAAAGGCTCTTTTTGCTTTCTGAATGATCTATTTAGTAGCATGCTGTTGCTGTTCTTGTATCATGGATGCATATTAGTCATGGTTTTTTTGTTTGTTTTTGAGATGGAGTATTGCTCTGTTGTCCAGGCTAGAGTACAGTGGTGAGATCTCAGCTCATTGCAACCTCCAGTTCCTGGGTTCAAGTGATTCTGCCTCAGCCTCCCAAGTAGCTGGGATGACAGGCATGTGCCACCAAGCCCAGCTAATTTTTGTATTTTTAGTAGAGATGGGGTTTCACCATGTTGGCCAGACTAGTCTTGAACTCCTGACCTCTGGGATTACAGGCGTGAACCACAGCGCCTGGCCTATTAGTCCTGGATTTATTGCTTGTTTTCTTCTCCCTGCATAGTCTTGGTTGTCTTTTTTGTGTGTGTGTGAGATGGTCTCGCTCTGTCACCAAGCCGGCCTGCAGTGGTGCAATCTTGGCTCACTGCAACCTCCGCCTCCCAGGTTCAAGCAATTCTCCTGCCTCGGCCTCCCAAGTAGCTAGGACTACAGGTATGCGCTACCACACCTGGCTGATTTTTGTATTTTTAGTAGAAACAGGGTTTCACCATGTTGGCCAGGATAGTCTCGATCTCTTGACCTCGCGATCCACCCGCTTTGGCCTCCCAAAGTGCTCGGGATTACAGATGTGAGCCACCAAGCCCGGCCAGTTGCCTTCATTTTTTATTTAGCTCCTGTCTCTTTGTTTCAATCTTTATTTTTATATTAGAGGCATTATTTAGATGTTTGGTGATCCTTAACCATCTGCTTTTATTTCACAGTGGGGGTGGTATTTTTACCCAGAGTGGTTGGGCTGGTTGGTAGCTCTGAGCCGTCGATGGGGTTCATCAATAGTGGATTTTCTGTCAGGTGATCTGGCTAGGCCATCTTAGTGGAGGACCTCCAATGTTAGTGTATTTAGGTATTTCCTCTTGACTGTTCAGATTTTCCAGAGAAGTATCTTCTCATTTTATGTGTGGCATTATGGACCTGGAATTCTGGAAGCTGAGTAAGAAGGGAGGCAAGATCATATTCCATAAATCCAGGTTGCCCTGATTGAGCACGTAACCTAGTACATCACTTTCTTCTTCATTCCAGTTTAGTTTAGCATGTGTTGACTACCAAGTCTAAATACTTGGTCTAAGTATACCCATTGGTCTAAATGCTGGGGATAAAGAAATTATTAGAATGCCCTATTTTTGCCAGCCTACGTTCAATTTAAGCCAATAAAAGTGATTGAACTTTAGATTTTTAAAGCTCTATGCTAGTGTGGCGAGGAAAGATCTTGGTAGGAGTTTCTGTCTCAGGAAGCTCATAGACATGCGTGGGAGGTAGAAACAAATTATGAAACCAAAATACAAGGCAGAACATGAAATAAGTGCAGCAAAAGAGAAGAAGTACTGTGGTTGTTTAGAAAGGAAGAAGAGATTCATTTCGATTGTGGGGACATGAAGGAAGTGGAGATTTGCATGGGAGCTTTAAAACTGTACAGAATTTCACAAGCAGAGACGGGGGGTGGGCGGAGTGCAAGCAAAAGCCCGAAGATCTGGAGTTTTAGGACCCTGCTTCTCCTCCTTGCAGGGTGATTCTGGAGGCCCTCTCCATTGCTCGGTGAATGGCAGGTATTCTGTCCACGGAGTGACCAGCTTTGTGTCTAGCCAGGGCTGTAATGTCTCCAGGAAGCCTACAGTCTTCACCCGGGTCTCTGCTTACATCTCCTGGATAAATAATGTGAGTCCTCTCAAATGATGGGTTGAAATGGGGTCACCTGGAGACCCACGCACTGGCTGGGTTGGGGAACAAAAGTGACTGGGCAAGCCGTCATCTTCCTTATCATATTCGTGTGTTTACTCCCTTCCCCTCCTTCCATAGTGTACCTTCCCTCAATAACGCTGCCATCTGAATTCCCTCCCTTCCACATACCCTCAGAGCAGATGTAACTGTATTGTTTACTGCTTAGGGTAAGACAGTGGCAACATCAGATCTGAACCAGGGACATATCAGTGCCTTCCTAAGTCGAAGCCCAGGGAAATCAGGTTCAGAAAGGCCTGCGTGCTCCTGGGCAAGGGAAGGAGGCACCAACCTCCTCTCCCATAAGGTCTTTCTAAGGACACTATGAGAATTTGCTCTAACTTTTTTTTTTTTGAGACAGAGTTTCACTCTGTCACCCAGGCTGGAGTACAGTGGAGTGATCTCGGTTCACTGCAGCCTCTGCCTCCTGGGTTCAAGTGATTCTCCTGCCTCAGCCTCCCAAGTAGCTGGGATTGTAGGCATGCAACACCATACTTAGCTAATTTTTTTTTTTTTGTATTTTTTAGTAAAGATGGGTTTCACCATGTTGGTCAGGCTGGTCTCAAACTCCTGACTTCAAGTGATCCACCCACTACCCAAAGTGCTGGGATTACAGGCATGAGCCACTGTCCCTGACCTGCTCTAATTTTTGAAAGTGATTTTACCACCTTAAATAATGCTTGAGAGTTAGGTGAGACTCTGCCTACACTGACCTGGTGGAAAGGCCACACAATACATTTCACTGTGTCCTCCACCCTTCAAACACATTCTGGAGCCTTGTGCATTAATCATGGCTCATGGCCATTTCAAGGTCTGTCCTTGCCACTGTGCTGTGGGTATGTACCTGTAGCACTGAGCTGTCCTATCACAGTTGAGGCTGACTTCCTGCCTCCCCGTCCCTGACATCTCAACTTCGCATAAACCCAGTACAAAACCATACTTAACTGGGAGCCCTGGGGAAACAAGAAAGGATGTAGGCAGGAGTTACTGACTGTGGACATTAACTGTGTTTCCTTCAGGTCATTGCCTCCAACTGAACAATTTCCTGAGTCCAATGACCTTCCCAAAATGGTTCTTAGATCTGCAACAGGACTTGCGATCAACAAGTAAAAAACATTCTAAAAGCAAATAAAACAAGATATACATTCCTATACTGTGTCTTTCTATTTATAATTAAGCCCTCTAGAGCAGGGGTCCCCATGCCTGATGATCTGTCACTGTCTCCCATCACCCCCAGATAGGACCATCTAGTTGTAGGAAAACCAGCTCAGGGTTCCCACTGATTCTACATTATGGTGAGTTGTATAATTATTTCACTATATATTACAATGTAATAATAATAGAAATAAAGTACATAATAAATGTAATGCACTTGAATCATCTCGAAACCATCTCCCACCCTGGTTTGTGGAAAATTATCTTCCACAAAACTGGTCCCTGATGCCAAAAATATTGGGGACCACTGAATTAGAAGAAATGCAGTTATAGGATCCAAATTGGATTTCACTACATCTGTGTGCTGGTTCTTCCCTTCACTGCTACCTTTACCAATCCACAACCCAAGCCCGGTGGGAGTAGCTTTACATTACCCATTTTGGGTTACTTTAGGATCTACCTATCCACTAATCTGCCCATCTGCCCTATTCTTGTGCATATTTTCTATATTCAAAGGCACAGAGTACTTTAAAAAGTTCCTGAGTGGGCCAGGCACAGTGGCTTATGCCTGTAATCCCAGCACTTTGGGAGGCTGAGGCGTGTGGATCATGAGGTCAGGAGTTTGACGCCAACCTGGCCAAGATGGTGAAACCCTGTCTCTACTAAAAATACAAAAATTAGCTGGGCGCGGTGGCAGGCACCTATAATCCCAGGCTGAGGCAGGAGACTCACTTGAACCCGGGAAGAAGAAGTTGCAGTGAGCTGAGATCGCACCACTGCACTCTAGCCTAAGCAAGACTCTGTCTCAAAAAAATAAAAAAAAAAAAAGTTCCCGAGTGACTGTGCCCTAACTTTCCCAGGTAGATCGTGGGCTCATCCTTCTTTTGTTTCCCCTTTCAGTGCCTAAAATGAGTGCCCACCCCAAGTTTCTGGGTGATGGCAACTACTAGGATACACCAGAGATAGAAGTATAAGATTCGGAGCCAGGACAGATACCAGCAGACTAAGAAAGTGAAATTAGAGGCTGGGCGCAGTGGCTCACACCTGTAATCCCAGCACTTTGGGAGGCTGAGGCGGGCGGATCATGAGGTCAAGAGATCGAGACCATCTTGCCAACATGGTGAAACCCTGTCTCTACTAAAAATACAGAAATTAGCTGGGCATGGTGGCATGCACCTGTAGTCCCAGCTACTTGGGAGGCTGAGGCAGAAGAATCACTTGTACCGGGGAGGGGGAGGTTGCAGTGAGCTGAGATCGTGCCACTGCACTGCAGCCTGGCAACAGAGTAAGACTCTAACTCAAAAAAAAAAAAAAAAGAAGAAGAAGAAGAAGAAGAAGAAGGAGAAAGAAAGGAAAAGAAAACAAGAAAGTGATCAATTAGAAACTGGAGAGAATTACTTGGGCCTGGGAGGTCAAGGCTGCAGCGAGCCAAGATTGCGCCACTGCATTCCAGTCTGGGCAACAGAGTGAGACCCTGTCTCAAAAAAAAGAGACTGGAGAACTAAGAATAGAAAAAAGGAGAGAAGAGAAGATACTAAACAAACAAAGGAAAGGGCTGAGGGGAAGAGACAAAACAGAAAGGAAGAGGCGACAGCAACATAGGGCCTCAAGCTAAGTGTGAATCAGCACTTCAAGGCTGGGACTAAAATAGGCAACCGGATCCAGGGTTCTATAAACTACAGAGAACTGGGAAACTGATAATTCTGCTGTATCCTGGCCAAGGCTCAGTCTGTTAGTGTGGCCTATGAGAAGGCAAAGGGGGAACTGAAAGGGGAAGGCTAAAAAGGATGAGAATCAGCTTTTCATGTCAATCACTGAAGAGCAGACAAGAGGGACTAGGGTATTAAACATTGCAGAAGGAGAAACTGGCTGAGACAGACCCTGGAATTGGCAGGCTCAGCAGAGGCCTCTAGAACACCGAATGTGCTGTAAGAGGTTGAGTCTGTTACCATCCCAGTTCCACCACTGAGGAGCTGGGTGACTTTAGGCAAGTCATCAGCCCTTTCTGTGACTCAACTTCACTATCTAATTAACTTCTAAGGGTGTTTCTTCTCTAACACTACATGATTTGGTGACCATCAATTTCAGTTTGCGAGATATTGGCACTAAGCAGAGTTTCTTAGGAGCCAGTGGCTGGGTTGCATTGCTGTGGATGCCATGTAATCCTGGGAGGGACACAGGTATTGGCCTCCTTCTGCTAGTGACATACCTGTTAGCATTGCCATCTACCCTCAGAGTTCCTGCAGTACTGCTATTCTCCGTGCTTCTCCCCAGTCTTCCCCATCCAATATCAAGTCCTTCCATTTTTGTTACCCTGTCTCTTCCAGGCCATCACCAAAGCTAAATCCAGAATAAACCCTAATCACCTGGCTGGGCACGATGGTTAATACCTATAATCCCAGGACTTTGGGAGGCTGAGGCAGGTGGATTGCCTAAGCTCAAGCCTTCCAGATTAGTCTGGGTAGCCAGGAGTGGTGGCATGCACACACCTTAGTCCCAGCTACTTGGAAGGCTCAGGTGAGAGGATCACTTGGGCCTGGGAGATAGAGGCTGCAGTGAGCCCTGATGGCACTGCTGTACTCCAGCCTGGGCAACAAAGCAAGACTCTGCCTATAAGCAAACAAACCCCAATCACCTATTGCCAGAAAATGTTGTATCCATCTCTACAAATGAATTAATCACAATGAATTATAATCACCTGATTACCACCTAGCTCCACCTCCAGACTTTAAGCATCTTTATTTATATATTTATTTATTAATATTTATTCTTTATTTATTGAGAGAGGGTCTCACCCTTTGCCCAGGCTGGCATGCAGCGGCACCATCAGGGTTCACTGCAGCCTCTATCTCCCCTGGCTCAGGTGATCCTCCCACCTTGGCCTCCCTGTAGCTGGGACTACAGGTGTGTGCCACCGTGCCCAATTAATTTTTATATTTTTAGCAGAGACAAGGTCTTGCTATGTTGCCCAGGCTAGTCTCAAACTCCTGGGCTCAAGCAATCCACCTTCCTTGGCCTCCTAAAGTGTTGGGATTACAGGCATGAGCCATGGCACCTGGCCAGACTTTAAGCATTTTTTTTTTTTGGAGAAGGAGTCTCGCTCTGTGCCCAGGTTGGAGTGCAGTGGTGCAATCTTGGCTCACTGCAACCTCCGCCTCCTGGGTTCAAGCGATTCTCCTGCCTCAGCCTCCCAAGTAGCTGGGACTACAGGTGCACATGGCCATGTCTGGCTAATGTTTTGTATTTTAGTAGAGATGGGGTTTCACTGTGTTACCCAGGCTGGTCTCGAACTCCTGAGCTCAGGCAATCTACCTGCCTTGGCCTCCCAAAGTGCTATGATTATAGGTGTAAACCACTGCCCTGACCTGACTTTAAGCATCTTAAGGTCAGTGACTGCATTTTATTCATCTGTAGTTTCAGAGCACCCAGCAATGCCTGCCACACAGTTGACCTTGAGTACAGTAATGACTGTTTTGGGGAAAGAACAGGAACACGATAGCATATAAGGGCCTCTGATTTTGTGTCAGGCTCCTATCTTCCCCCTCCACTCCTTAAGAAGTTATTATTTTGACCTTCTTCCCTTCCTTGAGGAAATTTTACCTGCCCTGTAATATCTGAATATGTGGTTCCTCCAAGCCTGGCATCCTAATCTCCAGCTATCCCCTCAAACAGGTCAGAGAGGAATTTCTTGGAGAACTTTTCCCTAGAGAAACAATAGTTGTCATTTCAGCAGCCCCACCCCACTTTGCACAATCTGTCTGCGTTCACATTCTGCCTCCATCCAGTACACTGTATTCCAACTAGAAAAACCTGCTCCATATCCCCAGCATGGGCGTCCATACTCTCCTCCTCAGCCTTTTTTCAATGCGATCATTCCCTGGCCTAAGAGCCAGCCCCCCAGCCCGTTTCTATCTCCAGCTCAGTTTTTGTTTTTGTTTTGAGATGGAGTGTCACTCTGTCACCCAGGCTGGAGTGCAGTGGCTTGATCTCGGCTCACTGCAACCTCAGCCTCAGGGTACAAGCAATTCTCTTGCCTCAGACTCCCGAGTAGCCGGGCCTACAGGTGCCCACCACCACGCCCGGCTAATTTTAGTATTTTCAGTAGAGACATGGTTTCACAGTATTGGTCAGGCTGGTCTCGAACTCCTGACCTCAGGCGATTCACCCACCTGGGCCTCCCAAAGTGCTGGGATTACACCATGCCCGTCCTGTTCCTCCCTTTCAAAGCCGCATGGACGGTCTTGCCCGTTTTCTGCACTCTATCCGTATCAGTTCCAGGCTTAGAGCCTACACTGCAACCTGGAGCAAGAAACGCAGTTTAATGGCGGCCTCGCATGCATATCCACAGAACCTAAGCGCGTTTTCGATACCGTAGTCCTATCGCTGAGTGGAACGCACACCATTTTCCACCCTGCGGTTGCGGTTACTTTCCAGTGCTCACTGTGATGGGAGCTGGCTTTCCTGAGCGAACGAGTCTCGGCCCACTGCGGAGGACCCGGTTCAGTGGGGCCGAAGTTCGGGCCAGGGCTGGAGATCCGATGCTGGCCTCCAGCGAGCGCCGCCTGAGGGCAGGCCCCGTCCCGCCCCTCCGAGCCGAGTATCGCTGCCCCGGCCGCCCTCGGGCGGACCGTGTTAGGCCGCAGGGCGGGCCTCGGGGCTGGCAGGGGGCGGTCAGGGATGGCGCAGGGCCTGGGGTGGCGCAGGGCCGGGGCCGGATGCGAGGCATGCCGGGAGCCCGCACTTCCTCTTCGGGGGCCTCAGAAAACCACAGGGCGCGGGGCCAGGCGGCGGCCCCCGGGGAGCCGGCAGGATGGCAGAGGGCAAGGCGGGCGGCGCGGCCGGCCTCTTCGCCAAGCAGGTGCAGAAGAAGTTCAGCAGGGCCCAGGAGAAGGTAGGCGGCCGGGCCTCGCCGTCTGTCCGGCCCTCAGGGAGCCAAGGCAGAGGCCTGGTGGGCAGGAGGGGCGGGCAGGGCGCTCAGGGGCCCCGAAAGGCCTGGGCTGATGAGGAGGGTCTCCCGCTCTTCCGGGGAAACGGGAGTGGGAAGTGGGCTTCCATGAAAATTGGCAGATTGGAGAGAGAACGGAGGCGGCCACCCGATCTTAGGCAAGAATGAGGGTGGCTGGGGAGACAGCAGTCTCTGGCAGAACCTTCGACAACTCTCAGGCTGACCCAGAAAAGGTGAAAGAAAGGAACTGACGACGGTGGCCACCTTTGATTCAAGTTTTGTCCTAGCAATCCAAAATTGGTATTTTACAGGTGATGAAACTGGAGGGTAATTTTCCTCAGAGGGTAATTTTCCCAGTCAAAGACAGCGATGCAGCGGGTGCCAGGGTGCACCCTCGCTTAGCTTGGACGGGGAGTCCACAGAAGGCTAGAATAATCCTGCGTAGTTCTCCCCCTCCCTCACTCTGCCTGGCCTCTGGGTGGTGTTTCAGCTGATGTAAGTAGGAGCCCATATCTGCTTCCTGCACCCTCCCTTTGGCGTAGGGGAGTACACCTCCCAGGATGATGAACCACATCTGTGTTCAGAGTGCATCC